AATCAATCAATCATCTACCTGAAGCAACCGTAAAATAAATGAATGTCCCTAATAGACCTGCTATAGCCAACTCGAAGAACATCTGAAATTCATTTCAGCATTAAAATAGCCCAACAGATAATAAGCCAACCAACCATGAATGTCATAAACGAATCGAGCAATGATTTGCGTATATGCAGACATCCCGTAATATACTCCGACCAGTAGATCACTCCAATGAAAAGCGTTGTGAATATGTACCAATATCCCGTCGAACAGATGTAGATGATTATCGCCAGATACATCATCAACGATGCTGTTGATGCCAACACTGCCGATAGCTGTAATTGAAACCATACTATCAACTGAATAACAAATGATAACTACTCACTTGTGGATTGATCTTTCCGCATAAGTAATATCGACGTCTGTCAACGTCTTCGGCGACGTAGTGCATCAGCGGGAAGAACGTCATTGTTTGAGTCTCTTCTGCAATAACAATGGCAAATAACACTTGCAGAGTTCGGTTGCGGAGATGAATTAATGAAGTGAAATGAGAATGACAATGCTTTTATATTCAACCAGATGCTTCGAGTCGACATAACGACAATTCAAGCATTTTTTTAATCGTCCCTTATCGCTTGCTGCGATCACAATCTTTCTCTTATCAACAGCAGTATCCTTCCAGGACATATATCTCATCATTTCTGTGGCTGCTAGCTGCACAAGATTTGAATCAGTTCAAGGGAAGAAGTCTTATCAAATGTTTTAAAAAACAATGCAGCAATCGACAACAAGTAATAAAATTACCTCATATGTTCTACGTAATCAACGGTGTTGATAACAACACAATCGCTGCTAAGTGGATTATAAAATGGAAGTACCTTCATTACTGCTTAAAGCCAGGTCTCTGCTCTCTACATAAAACAATGTTTGAATACAAAATGACAAAATCCCTTTGCACAACAGATGATTCTTGATCGTCTTGTGATAAAAGATAACCAAGCAGTTCAGTGTATGCACTCGCCAATAAATGTTATTGTTCCAGTGAATCCCACAGCTGTTCACGACAGCATCAAATTCATATGAAAAACACTCAAATTCAAAAATATAAAGCAGCATCGGTGCTTGTTCAGTGCCACTGATAACCTTTACCAAATCAATTCAATTGTTTATTCATTGCACATCAAAACAAAAACAACCATAATTAACTATGTCACAAAATAAGATCAATCATCGTCTACGACTCTTCATAAATGAAACCACATCAAACGAATCGTCGATTTCAGATTCAGGTGCACTGTGGTAATACGGCTCTTCCTCCACAATACCACACTTCGATAATTCGTTCGCAGTTAATGTCGTCGATTCAGGATAAATCACCTGTAAGAATTACGCTTATTATTCATAACTATGTGGCCAGACAGAGGCTTATCGCTTACAACTCTCTCCCTCAGTCGAAAACCAACCTGTTTCGAATCATCTGCACAGATGTGTGATATCCTGCCCAGCATCGGCACTATATATCGACCAGAAATCACCACATAAAAGCGAATCAAACGCGCCTCCATCTCGAAATTCGGTCCTTTTATGGCACTCGCTTCATCCACAAACACCGTCCTCTTCTCATCAGTGACGATCACATTCTGCAATTAGCATTATCGCAATCGCGCAATCAATCAACAACGACTCTTACCTCATTTCTAAGGGCACATTTAACTATGTTCTCATCGATCACCCAGCTGTTATCCATCGATACTTGTATCCGTACTATCAGTTTCATTAAATGTCTGCCAATGTTCACATATTCATACGGAATGCGTATTCGTGATGCCAGTTCTTCTTTGTTGGCCTTAATTTCACAACGTAACTTCTTGCCGTACGCCAACATTCCAACAAAACAGACGATCAAATGAAAAAGTGTACCTCCTTGATGGCTGCGTAATAAGTCAAATCAAACGGAGACGCGTAAACCGCCTTACGGCTCGGTATCAGATCTGTTCGTGCCACCTTCCGATCCACCTCGACAACATCATACTGATGACCAATCACTGCTCATTAATTTTTCAAATCAGAGCTGATTTAATGGCAATAAAACGCATTTATAAAACGAACGAACAACTAACTTTCAACATCCTGCAACAAAATCACTTTAATCGGACCAGCTGGATGCTTCGACTCGAAATCGATCACTTCGTACTTCATCATATTCGGTAGATGCGTCGACTCTTTCGGTAACCTTCCCATTTCATCACACACAATAAAGTCACTGCCATTGTAAACGCGATTCAAGATCCATGTGCTCTGCAAAAACATCGCCTTTATTACTTGATCGTCCATCAAAACATCTCAGCAATCGCTTATTCTGTTTCATCCCCCTACTAGATCATATTGTTAACCAGTTTATATTAAGTGAATGTTCATTAATTAAGAATTAATTAAATTATATTAATTAATCAAGATTAAATAAATTAAATAATAATCATGCAACAATTGCACTCACTCACCCGAACCGACTGTCTCAACACCAGCCCAGCCACTGGCTTGCTGAGCCATAAAGCTTGCTTCAAAATCATTTCTTAAACTTTAAGATTTCTTCTTAAAGTTGATCACTAATCAACTTTTGAGTGCTCGTTTCATTGTCATTGCAACATCAACGGCGTTTTCTATAGACTTAAATTTCTATCGGCATACTATAGCCAATGCGAACCACCTGCTGGGCATTTTGCGAACGTCACTTTGAATGAGCGATTTAGTATGGTTTGCAGCCATTTCGCCAACTACGAGCGGAGTGACAGCTCGCCAAATAATGGAACTGTTATTTGCATGATCATTCAAGGTGACCGTACCAAAGAAGCAGCACAACACAAAACCGGATTTCCTGCACACTCACACACCAATCTCATATCTGAATCGAACACACTCAATCTCATTCAAATTCATTCAGTGTCGTGTTTTTTTTTTACCTGGATCGGCCAGGCTATCAAACGTTTATAACGTTGTTGGCCACAATGCTCGCGTTTCCGTGCACATNTGCGATTGACGAAACAACCACTCGATATCCAAATAATAATTAATAATAACTAGTGTCGTATTTATCACCCGTAAAATGACATTTGCCGTCCTGCAGAAGCGCAATAAAACGAACTGGATGCAATGTTTATCGAGAGAATGAAACCAACGAGAAACAATATNGTGAATACTTCGCAATTGTAATTAAACGCAGTCAAATACCAATTCAATAAATAATCGTTACTCTAATAAAATAAATATTCCGCCGATCGCTCACTGCGATTGACGAAACAACCACTCAATATCCAAATAATACTTAATAATAACCAGTGTCGTATTTATCACCCATAAAATGACACTTGCCTTCCTGCATAAGCGCAATAAAACGAACTGGATGCAATGTTTATCGAGAGAATGAAACCAACGAGAAACAATATTAACATTTATCTTACCAACAACCGACAAGAGCATCCATTTGCAATAGAGCAATCAAAAATTAAGCAACATCACCACCCTATCATCATCACTCGTTTATTTATCTCGGTTATATCAAAAAAACATCAAATAAATAATATACCCACTCATTACAACCAGCTTTCACTTCAAATAAACTCTCAACAATAACATTTTCAATTCGATAATAACAAAGTTAACAATATATCGAACAAAACAAAACGGCAACGAATGATTACGGGTGTGTGCAGCTGATGAAAAACATGATATTGTGCAAGAATGATTACATCTTATCAAGGAAATTATCCAGTGTCGGCACCTGCTCCTTCAATCCCTTGCGTTTGCGTGTCTCCGCAACCACTGCCGATGGTTTTGTGCTTGGATCTAATGGATTACCGGGCAGAATCTGCCAGTGATCGAATACACACTGTGGGAATGCTTGACCGCCTGTGTTTGAGCGAAGATCCGCCGTGAAGCCTTAATTTAAGTAGCTTAAGTTTATTTCAAGCACTTATTTATCAAAAGCACCACTGACTACTCATCAATCAAAAACAAGCAGCAGCAGCAGTACTTACCGAACGACTCGTTCACAGGAAGATATGCTTTAACAACAAACATAGGAGTACCCGCCACCTGCGATTCTTCAAAGACGTGACCTCGGCGACGATTCAATACACCGTAAATGCCTACAAATAACTTGATGAATATCAAAGTAGATCACAACAAACCTATCAATAAAGCTAACAAAGAAGTAAACTACTCACCACCAACTGCGTTCTCTGGACATTGAATCTCGACCAGGTAGACAGGCTCGAGAAGACGAGGCTGTGCGGTCAGCACACACGCGTACAGAACACGTCTTGCGGTCGGGATTATTTGACCACCGCCTCTGTGGATGGCGTCAGCGTGCAGAGTTACGTCGTGAATGTTGAAGCGAACACCTCGCATGTTCTCGTCGCACAACACACCCTCCTTGGTTGCCCACTGGAATCCGGCCACGACCGAATCCTTGATTTCGTTCAAATACTGCACTCCCTTGGTCACATCAACCAGTATATTCGCACCAGTGCCATCAGGACCAAAGCACCAAATTTTACGTGCTTCTGTCACATCATACTCGTACTTCTCTGCCAGTAACTTTGCACGAGCCTAAATTAACAACAAATTATAATTTCAGAACATCACTAGCTAGTGACTGCCACAACTTCAAAAGTACATCAAAAATACCTTGATTTCATCACGAGCGTTGATTTCACCCTTATCAATATCGTCAGCAAGACCATCTGGCATTGGGAGGGCTTTACAGAATAGACGATTATGTTTGTTGGGTGACTTTGAGAGACACAACTGATCAGACTCTTCAGCGACCGTTTCACGGTATGAGACGACTGGATCGGATTTCTTGATCGGGATGCATGCGTGATCCTCTTCCAGATCTTTCAGACAGATCTCCAGATGCAGTTCGCCTGCACCGGCGATGATGTGCTCACCAGACTCTTCGAATATGCACTGTACCATAGGATCGGATTTCGCCAGACGTTTCAGTCCTTCCACCTGTCAAAATCACCATTTCAATGAACACAACAAACAGCCAAAAAAAAACAAACAACCACAACAAACAGCCAAAACTCACCAGTTTCGGCAAATCACCCGCATTCTTCGGCTCAACAGCAACGCGAACGACCGGTGACACCGAGAACTTCATCACACGCAGATTATGCGCATCTTTGAAGGTTGTGATCGTGCCACCCTTCACCAGATACTGGTCAACACCGACCAGACCAGCTATGTTGCCGGATGGAATGTCCTCGATCGGCTCCACATAACGACCCATCATCAATATGGTGCGTTGGATTGTCTTCTCGTACAGATCGTCCTTCTTACCCGGTATGTAATTCGGGCCTTGAATACGTGCTTTCATTCCGGTCGATACCTGCAAACTCAGGCAAATCACCAGCTTCACGGCACATGTTCAAATGACGCACCTTTCCAGAGAAGACTCGACCGAACGCATAGAAGCGTCCTTTGTCGGTAGTGGGCACCATCTTCGAGACGTACATCATCAACGGTCCGTTCGGATCGCAGTTCTTGATCGCCATTGCGGCCTCATCATCGTGCGGTCCTTCGTAGAGCATTTCCATACGGTACTTTTGTGCCGTCACAGGTGATGGTAAATGAATGCAGATCATTTGAAGCATTGTATCACCGGCTGGCAACCATTTTCGCATCATCACCTGTTCATTTGCATTTCATATTATTGAGCAAGTCAATGCTAACCAGCTTAATAATAATGCCAGCATAAATATGCACCTTCATGAGCGGCTTTCCTTCGAGATCCTTCTCATCAGCGGCGAGTTTGATGTTGAGTTTGACTAACAGTTTGGCTACTTCCTCCTTTTTCACATTCATCACAGCATCGAACACTTTGAAGATTGGATCAAGCACGAACTGCACGAAACCTCTCTTGCTGTCCGCATCTTGATTGGAACTCCACTTCTTCGTCTTCAAATTAAAGAAACGATCGCCCCAAAGATTATGCATCAATTTGTCCACCTGAAATTCACATCTCATCAATTACACACATCACAAATAGTCTATATACATAATCTTGTTCTATTTAAATTTTTACCTGTACTAAAAAAATTAATATACATAATCTGTAAAATTTAACGAACAATAAATTTACCTGTACTCCGAACTTCTCGGCGTACATCTCAGCAAACTGCTTCAATGTGAACGCCCATCCGTGGAGACCCGAACCGAAACCAACGTTACCAACAGCTGGATCGACCATAATTGGACCCATAGGGCCATCGTCGTCACCGTACGTAGCAATAATAACGTTGATATTCTCAACGATACGTTGAAATGTTTGATACAATTCCTCTTGACCTAGTTGCAACTCCAGAAGCGCACGATCCATCTTATTCATGAACAACACCGGCTTTATTCGTTCAGCAATTGCTTGTCGCAATACTGTTTCTGTCTGTACGCATACACCTTAAACAAATCACTTGTATCAGCATTTAATCAAGAACATTAAATCGTCACCCTCTGAACCAAAGTTGTTGAGTGATTGAAATAAGAGTCTTACGATAAAAAATAAGACTCTTAACCAAAATGCACTCGAATTTATTTCGCGTTCATTCGACACTCAACAAAACAATTCAGTGCTTGCCGAGTTCTAATATGACGCATCATCAATGTGCAATAAACAAAGCACAAAACGAACCCGAAACACAATCCACCACAACCAATGCTCCATCAGTTACACGCAGTGCAGCTGTCACCTAAAACGAGCACGTTCTCATCGAGTTTGCGAATTCCTTCAAACTTTAAAAGCAATTCAAAGTGAGCACCAACTTACTTCACTCGAAAAATCGACGTGGCCGGGTGAGTCGATAAGATTGATCAAGAATTCATGCAGTTTTTTCTTTTCGCCATTCACAACATCCACTTCGTATTGATTTTCACCCTTGATGAATTCGATATCCTTATCAGCCAGTTCGAAGAAAAGCGATATGGCACTGCAATTCCACCACAAATCTACACTGCTCAGCTATTCATTTACACAGCCACAAAGCAGTCAAAACACATACGTCGACTTGATAGTAATACAACGTTCTTGTTCATCCTTTCGAGTGTCCGTAAACCGAGTCTCACCCGCTTTTGCACCGGCAATAATACCAGCCTTTGACACCAGTGAATCCGTCAGGGTTGACTTACCTAAGACGGAACCAATCAATTCTACTGTTCTGATCAATATTTATTCAATCAATCAATCAATAAATTTGCATACCATGATCCACATGTGCTATGACGGACATATTACGGATATTTCTTTTACGATCCATAATGCTACGGATCTCATCGATAGTGAAGTTCACCTCAAAATTGATCATTTCTAATCGGTCAACTCATAATGAATAAGGTGATCATAATGATTATAACAGTACATCGATTGTCCATCATTAAGTGATATTGAGAGATTTAAACATTCCGATGCACAAACACCTTCACCAAAACGTTATAAAATCCAATAAACACGAAACAATTACACTAAAAATAAACCAATCAATAAGAAGCAATACCATTTTCGCTGAGTTCTTGTCTCCGGATAATTTACGACAAT